TGACCTGACTGTGACCACAAAACCATGAAACATGATCCACATATGTTTTAATTTGGATTAATCAATAAAAACGTTGACAGAAAAAAAGACTTATTCTCATCATTATGAGTATTATATCACAAAAATGCATATTTATTGATTTTCATGACAACCTTACCTCCTACCTGTGACCGAAAGGCAAACTGCAGAGTGCAGTTACAGTAAGTTCCCACCATGGTTTTTAAGTGATGTAGGACAAGCCTCTTCAGGGTCTTCATCAGATGTGACATCAGTGCCACTGGTTTGAAGTCATTCATTTTATTTGTTGATTAATAGTTCTTACATATATCTTCCGATGCATCTGAACACATCATCAGTGATGTAACCTGGGTTCATTGGGTCTTTCAACATCAGACACCCTCTCCCAGGCGACCCTGCCACAGTTGATCAGACCGCGGAATGTGTTCAGGTGGCGTGCACTAGTTCCCATGGATCTCCTCTCCGGATCCAGAGCCATCTTGAGGCTTTCTCAGCTGCTTCGATGATGTTCTTGATGGCTCTGCTCCTTGCTCTTCCTGTGATGCCTAGTACACTGAGGGCTCCGTTGTGAGAGTGACCCACAAATCCCCTACAGCCTACTTCGATGGGCATACACTTGGCCTTCCAGCCCTGTTCTCGATAGTCTATCACCAGATGCTTATATTTAGTCATCTTCTTTTCATGAGCTTTCCCCAGGCAGTCCTCCCATGGCACTGTCAGCTCCATGATTATGATGTTCTTGGTGCTCTCAGGAACCAAAACAATATCTGGCTTAAGTTTGGTGCTTATAATGTGCTGCAGGAGGCTCAACTGTTTCTCCAACATGGTGTGGCATGTGGTGCTTGATCACCGTGCACTGGATCAATTTGTGGGAGATGGAACCATATGCGTTGGCTAGGTCTAACCACACCATGATCTCCTTCAAACACTTCTTCATGGCTGAATCCTGGTGAATTCTGGTGAATCCCGAGGCCTCGGCAGTTTTTGCAGATTTCCCCGCATGTGCATGTCGCGGTCGTAGTCGCTTCTCCATTGCCATTTGTCGTTGCCATTTGATGTGTCAGATTAAGGTTCCCATTCTCCCCTCCTCTCGGGCTCCCCTGGGGGTATTTTTCCATGAGTAGCTTGATGATGGGTTTCCGCCTCTCAGAAGAAGCAGTTTGGGCTGCCAACCCTCCCCACCCTGGATGCTGACTTTCTAAGCTGCCAACTGCCTCTTCAGTCGTCCCCAGCCTATTCCTTGTCATCAGCCAGTCTATTCCTGGTTGTCACTGGCTTTGTGAGGACAAGGAGATGGACACTGATGCGGATCAGATTCAGGTAGTCCTGTTTATTAAGTATTAGCAACACAATGTCTGTGGATCTCAGCAGGATGTTTTATTATTTTAGTTTATTTTTTGAATTTTGTGAATTACAGCTGTAACATGACAAAAAAAAATCCTTTTGGAGATACAAAAATGCATTCTGAATATGAAATGAATCTGCATCATCCTGAAGTGCTCAGTGAAACTGATTGTCCAATCTGTTTTGACATTTGTAAAACTTTCTGGATAAATGGAGTTTATCAACTGTTCCTCACCCAAAAAATTAGCCTTCACAGAGACGTGGCTTACTGGACAAGATCAGGACTCAGACCTTTTTATGGAGGGATTTGGATTACCTTTCCGTGTGGATCGAAAAGCCGAAGTGACCCGGAAAACTCGGGGAGGAGGGGTAAGTCTTTATGTTAACAAACGATACTGTAACTCTGTGACTGTCATGGACCGCATCTGCACGCCAGATGTAGAACTTTTATCAGTGTCAAATACACCCTTTTTACCTGCCCCATGAGTTTCCCTGGCTTTTATAACAGTAGTGCACATTCACACGAGGGCAGACGCTGCCTCTGCTTCTAGCACTATCTGTGATGTAATGCATAAACTACAGTCACTTTCACCAGAAGCACCTAACTTTATACTGGGTGATTTTAATCATGTCTCGCTGAAAAAGACCCTTTTAAACTTTTATCAGTATGTCTCGTGTCCCACTAGACAGGACAAAACACTTAATCTCTGTTATGGATCAGTAAAGGATGCCTATAAATCTGTACCATTACCTCCACTTGGAAATGCAGATCATAACTGTGCAACTTAAAACAGTTTTAAAAAGTCAGAAAGTACAGGTGAAGGATATAAAGGACTGGACGGAGGAATCTCTACTCTGCCTGCAGGAGTGTTATGACTGCATGGATTGGGACATGTTTAAAGAGACTTGTGGAGATGATTTGGACACTCTTACTGATGTCATTTGTTCTTACGTTGCATATTGTAGAAACATGATCATTCCCTCTAAGACAGTTAAAATCTACCCTAACAACAAATCATGGATGACTAATTCTGTGAAGTCCAGTATACAGAAAAAGAATCTTGTTTTTAGACATGGGACAGTATCTGACCTCCACTTGGCCAATAAGGAGCTGAAAATAGAAATTTTAAAAGCCAAACAGAGATATAAATCTGACCTGGAGAGTAAAATGGCTGCGAATAAACTTGGCTCAGCCTGGAACAGCAAGAAAAAAATAGCAGGCATCTGGTTTTTATAATCGTTTTAATACCTTTGATTTTAGTAATGAGATTCAGGAACTGCAGTGTAACCTAAAACATGGTCAGCATTTTAAAATTGATCAGAAGTGCCAAGGGCCTTTCACTCTATAAGAGTAAACAAATCTTATGGTCCTGATCATATTTGTGGTCACTTACTCAAATCTTGTGCCCAGCAAGTCCTGTGTTTCATTTTATTTTTAAGAAGTCCTTGCAGACACAGCACATACCTAACATATGGAAATATGCTGTCTTAGTGCCTGTTCCTATTTCCAGTTTTATGAAAAGTCTAAATGATCTTAGGCCGGTGGTTCTGACATTGATTGTAATGAAAGTATTTGAAAAACTGGTGAAGTTAGAGATTTTGAGGCAAACTGAACATGTGCTTGACCCAATGCAGTTCGCCTACAGATCATGGAGAGGAGTGGAAGATGCTACACTGACCCTGTTGGACCTGATTGTTAAACATTTGGAGGAGAAAGGTTCTCATGCTCAATTACTCTTTGTTGATTTTTCTTCAGCCTTTAATATGTTTCAACCTCATATTTTAGTCAGAAGGCTTTTAGAGCAGTTTGAGTAAAAATTTTGTGGGCTGGATTCTTGATTTCCTGACAAACATGACTCAAAGAGTCCGGATAAATAGAACCCTGTCCAGCCAGGTCTGCTCCGCAACTGTGCTTTCACCCTTATTATTCATTCTGTATACAAATATGTGTCAGAGCAGGTATGAAAACAGGGCAATTTTAAAGTATGCAGACGACTCTGTAATTGTCAGTCTGCTCCAGGATAATGAGAAAAGCCACAGTCCAGTCCTGGATGAAATGGTCTGATGATTCCTACCTTCAATTAAACACATTTAAGACCAAAGATATGTCAATTGACTTTAGAACATGCACCTATGCACAGGAGGTCACTTCCATTAAGGGTCAGATGGTGGAATGTGTTCAATCCTATACTGTAAATACCTTGGAACAGTTATTGATTCAAAACTAAAATTTGAAGCAAACTGTGAAGTTGTGTGCAAAAAAGGTCTCCAGAGACTCTCATGTCTAAGAAGGTTTTCTCGTTTCCACATTGATAAGACTATGATGATTTTATTTTATAGTGCTTTTATTGAATCTATTTTATCTTTTTCCTTGGTGTCATGGTTTGGGCATTTATCTGTAAAGAACAGAAACTCACTCAGATTGTGAAATGGTCTAACAGGCTGATTGGTGAGCCACAGTTGAATCCAGCATCCCTGTACATCAGACAGTTACAGTGATTGGCTGGTTAAAATGTTTTTGACGTTTCACACCCTCTGCACAGTGAGTTTCAGTTTCTTCCCTCTGGACGAAGGTTATTGGTCCCAAAATGTAGAACAAAAACATTTAAAGACAGCTTTGTTCCAGCAGCCATCACTCTGATAAATAGATCCTAGCACTTTTTTTGTTTTTAATCTGTTTTGTCAGTTGTTCCTGTGTTGAAGTGTGTATGTAGGATGTATGACTCATGACTGCACCGCAAATCTACCTACAGGTACAAATAAAGTAACCTGAACCTGTAACCTGAACCTGAACCCATTTTAAAACTGAGCACTCAAGGGTAAGTTCCTCACCAGGAAAGGCGACGCAGGCAGTTGAGTAGGACACAGTATAAAGGGGGTTACTTCCCACTCCCAAGAGCACTGATCAATATCATATACCTCTGCTATCTCTCCCTACCCAGACGCTAACTAATTCTCTCACCGTTGGACTGCATAATTTCACTGACTGAGCTCCACATGCCTCTTCACCAACCTGCACCTTTCTTCCTGAGTTGATCATACAATTAGAAGAGCAGTAAATGGAATACAGAGTTGTAAGTATGGAACAACTTTAATATAAATGAAGAAAAACAACAGTTGGCATGTTGGCATGGTATCAATACTAGACCTAATATTTGGTTTTGGGGCATTTTTTGAGAATAGGCAACTTAAAAATTTTCAAAAATCCAAACATATCTATAAAGTGTGAAGAAACGTGTTTTGATATGACAAGCATTTATTAAACAATAAGATAGCAAAGGCAATAATTAGTGGAGGTGAAGTGTGGACTAATGTCCATAGCAATTAGTTTTAGTTCTTGAATGTTTGTCATATACAAGGGATTCAGAAAATACTTTGACCCCTTCAATTTTTTTCCACATTTTGCTTGGTGGAGGCTAATGCTACATAAATCTTTATTATTTGCCCCCCCCCCCCCTCAATCTACAATCAGCATTCTGCTGCCCTGAGAGTGTATTGAACTGTGGGCTTTAAATCAAGAAATAGGACTAGTTTAATTTATAACTATAGAAAGAAAAATCTGACATGTAGATAAGTTTTATATAAAAATATTTAATCGAAAAATACCTGTTGAAAATTTTAAGAGATGGACTCAAAGACATTATATGAAATCATTTATTATTGTGTTAAGCATGCATTACAATCCAGACACGGTTAAAAGGCTATTCTATAAAAGCAGTGATTTTAATGTTAAATATTGCATAGCTTATTTTCATTTTAAATTAAAAACAATATATTGTGAGCCATTAAAAACAATCACAATTATCCAAGATGTTTAATTTATTAAGATACCTAAACAAAACAATGAGTACATTAATAAGTGGAAAGCTGTCTGGGGTGGACCGTTTACTAATTAAGAGAAGTTGTCGTCAGAATAACAGCCCAACCAGCCCACTACTAAACAGTTTTAAATGCTTGATGGTCACTCTTCTTGGCCTCCAGTCTCATTATCCCTTCCCTAAAACCCACTCTTATGTCCAACTGTCCATCCCGCATAGTGATAGATACAGGACACCGAGTGTCCACTTCTAGCAGCTACAGGCAGGATATGAACAGGCTACCAATCTGCTCACATAAATACAGGAGACTAGGAAGGAAAGGAAGAAACCAGACCCTTCGGCCAGATTAACCCCCAGTGTTGTACAGTATTTTACATATAAAACAAAATTTCAATTTAAACCATGGAAGAGGGACTGATACATGTTAATTAGCAATACAGAGACAAAAACAGCATTTTATAGCAAATTTATCTATCTTCCATAAGTGCGTATACTATTCAGTTCTGCAATGAGCCTATTTTAAGAACTCTTGGAAACAAGGGAGGGCTAATTGCATGAACAGAGGCAGCAACAACACACTGGAGACACAAAACATCACCACTAATGAGAACAGGTAGGACAAGAATAGGAACCAGAACCACCCGTATAAATACAGGACCCAACTAGAAGCTTCACTCGGATTAACACTTTTCTTCACATTAGACCTACAAATCTTGGCTAAAGACAAATATGATTCCTCCAACATAGTGAGCTATCCCAGCATGCACAGAGACACTGAGGACCCTGAGACAATCCAAAATGCTGGATAGAGGGGTTCAGTGAAAGAGGTGGTGAACCTGTACAGGAAGGTCAGTCCATCAGAGGAGACACTGTAGAAGGACAGAGTACCAGCCTCCCAGTCTAGATATACTCCTACTCTGTGGGAACCTGAGGGCTGTATGGGTATGACAGTCTCTTTATTATTGTGACAGACTGAGAAACTGTCAGTAGAGCAGAACAGACTCCATGACTTGTCTTTGAAACCAATCTTGCATTTATCACCTTTCATTCTGATTCCTTTATAAGTCACTCCAATATTTGCTCCATTGCCATTCCACTCAACTTCCCAGTAACAGCGACCAATCAGACTCTCTCTACTGAGAACCTGGTTCCAGTAATTAGATTTCTTTGGATAATCAGGACATGGCTGCTCCACGCTCACGTGTGTCACCTTCCTGTTCCCCTCTGAAAGAGACATCAATCCACTTGCCGTGTTGGGGTCCAGTGTCAGCTGACAGGAGTCTATAGATGGCCAATACTTTGATTAGATCTTTTATTACCATCACATTCACACTAAAACAGAAACTGATGCACATACTTTGTTAAATATAAGCAGATTAAAGGAATTTCCCACACATACTCTAACACAAAGAAGTGTAATGATATTTTTAATGACATCCCAGACTAAAAAAAGTTTTAGGACTTGACTTTGTACAAGGAAAGCTGATAAGAACTGCAACTTTATCTAAAGATGAAATTAAATTAGCCTTGATACAAACAAACTACCGTATTTTTCGGACCATAAGACGCACCTTTTCCTCCCCCAAAAGAGGGGAGAAAAAGTCACTGCGTCTTATGGTCCGAATATTGCTCTGCTCACATGCTTTAACCCTCTGGGGTCGAATGCATAGTTGGCGACGCAGCGTACTTCTCGCGTCTATTTCAGTTTATCTCTCGCTGAAATCTTAATGTAGAATCATGAAAAAACGCTGGCTAAATCCGTAATCTGTCTTCTTTTCAAAACGTCCATTGTCGGAAGTATTACAGTTTTTAAAATTAGGTTAAATCGGCAAAAAATTAAACTATGTTCCCTTACTTTGTTTTACCTGCATCGGGGGCGTGTAGTACCGCTGTCACCCGAAGATCGCTATTCACATTCTAAATAGCCGCATTAGCGCGTATTCAAATCACATTCGCATGGTAATTTGGTGAACAACGCAACGGTGAAACACGATCCAAATACATCCCCATCAGCGCCATAAAAGGGGGGAGGGATGTGGCCAGGTGTCAATGGATCATTCATACACATGAAAGTTTTTTGTTACTGAAGTGTCTCCTTGTTTCTTTGTACTTTTATTGTTTTTTACTGACTTTATTTGTTAATAACAGTGATAATGGTTCTTAATGCTGCTGTTGACTACTGTTCACTGTACATGGTTGACGTAAAATATTGTAGGACACTATTTGGTTCAGAATCTTTTTTTTCTTCATTTCCCTCCCCTACAACTAGGTGCGTCTTATGGTCCGGTGTGTCTTATGGTCCGAAAAATACGGTAAATACTCTCAACACACACACACACACACACACACACACTTGGTATCCATCTCTTTGTGCGGACTCTCCATTCATTCGATGGGCATAATCCTAATCCTAGCCATCACAACCTTAACCCCTACCCAGCCCTAACCTTAAGTTACCAAGAAAAAAATACAAGACTCTTGGCATTTTTAGTGTTTTGATTGCATTCATAAATTTTTACAAAAATTGAGGATATCCTTATAAGTACTGAAAAATAATAGTATTTAACAAACACTTACATTTCAGGAGCCCTGGTCTGATTCTGCAATGCCAAACATGCTCCACACTATAGAATAATTATCATGACATAGTGTTAGTGTATCAGTTTGTTTAACTGGTATAGCTTCTTTTTATTTATTTATTTAATTAACCTTTAATTAACCAGGTTTGTCCCATTGAGATCACAGATCTCTTTTGCAAGGGAGACCTGGCCAAGGTGGCAGCAACACAGTGACAATGCAGAGTCTTACAAAGTAATACAAGAAAGAAAAGAAAACATAGTTAGAATTTACAATTACATATAGATAACCTCGATTCCAGAGTCTTTAGAAGAGTTTTAAATTCCTTGAGGGGTATTAAATTGTGCAAACGGAGTTCAACTTGAAGTCTGTTCCATGAGTAAGGTGCTGAGAACCTGAAGGCTTTCTTTCCTAGTTTGGTTCTTACTTAACATACATATATAAATGTTTGTAATACTGACTCTGCACTCACCTCAAATTCTTGTTGGTGGGTTACTGTATAATTTTATGCTATCTAATGTTAAATAGTATTTTATCTTGCCAAAATGCCCTTACTGCCTAGACAAAGAACTTTAATTGTAATTTTCTCTTAGAACACAAGCAGAACAGAAATGACGCAGGTGCTAATACACAATAAGAACCACAATGATCAAATAAGGAACAGAATAAAGGCACTAAAATACGCTGATAACAAGACTAGACGAGAGACCAGTGAGAACCATGACCAATTACTAAAGAACAGGTGGATTAATCAATCGAGGGATACAGAAAAGGTCCAAATACCAAGGGAAACTAAAACCAGGAAACCTGAATGAAATGGGAATAAGGAGCAAACATCAAGGAACTGTAACTGAAATACATAAAGACATAATAAACCAAGAGAACATAAAATGACAAATGTTAAACAAAAAACAACTCACAACAAAAAGGAACCCTGGATGATGGCTGACTGCTTAGCCCGGTAAGCGACGCAGCAGCCAGAGGAGCAGGGAGGCACACATCAAACAAGATAGCCAGCAAGAGCTGCTGGCCAAATGGGAAAGACACATGGAACAGGGCCAGACAGGCACTGATCCTGACATTTTCTTCTGCAGTGTAAGAATTTTTCACATAACTGAACTCTTTACTCACTTCAGTTTCTCCAGTTTGCAGTCAGGATCATCCAGTACAGCAGAGAGCAGCTCTGTTCCTGAGACTCCTGGGTGATTGTAGCTCAGATCCAGCTCTCTCAGGTATAAGGGGTTTGATCTCAGAGCTGAAGCCAGGAAAAAACAGCCTCTATCTGTGACTCTACAGCCTGACAGTCTGTAGATGGACAGGTAAAACATTGTTTCCCCATCAATAAATAGGATTACTTCAACATTATATTGAATGTTACCAGGATTAAAATGCATGTCTTCTCCAGTACACTGTGGAGTCCCCAGCAGTACTGACCTCAATATCTCTAGTTTGCATTGTGAATCCCCTAATCCACCACACAGCAGATCTACTCCTGAATCCTGCAGATCATTGTCACTTAGGTCCAGCTCTCTCAGTTTTGATAAGTTTGATCTGAGACTTGAGGCCAACACTTCACAGCATGTCTTTTTGAGTTGACACCAGTTCAACCTTAAGAAGACAGAATTAATTATCTGCACAGTCTTTTTGAAAATGTGTTTTGCTGTAGTTTAAATATAGTATATCAATTTAAAATAATTAAAAATAATCACCAAGTAGAGAGAATTTATCTTAATTAATTTATTGTGTTCCGAGAGTATATTAATAAACTAATGATCTTAACAGTTGTGTTGTCACCTGTAATTTTATCCATAACAATTATTAAATATTATGCAGGTTTAAGGTCTGAACTTCACTCTTACTATCATTTGTTATCCTATGAAAAATAGTCAAATAAAGGAATGAAATCCTGAAGCCTGCTTTGGCTTGTGTTTTAAGAAAGACTGTTTCCTGCTTTTCTCATTACTTATTTTTCATCTCAATTGGCAGAGATAATAAGACTATGGGACAAAAGGAGTTATTAGAAAATTATGTCATTTGTGGATGTCCAGGTTTTTATGATGACCAAAATGTTAGCAAAACATGTCAAATGCTTACACTCTACTCACTTCAGTTTCTCCAGTTTACATCTTGGATCCACCAGTACAGCAGAGAGAAGCTTCACTCCCAGTTTTCCTGGGTAATTGTAGCTCAAATCCAGCTCTCTTAGGTGTGAGGGATTTAACCCCAAAGCTGAAGCCAGGGAAGAACAGCCTTTGTCTGTGACTCTGCAGCTTGACAATCTGCACAGATAGACAAAATCTGTATATAAGATTACCTCAGCCAGGATTAAAGTGTGCTAGATTACTCCAATATAATCTGGAATACCCAGTAATAACGATTTCACTATCTCAGTATTATAAAGTATCTCAGTATTGGGGGGCAGAGTGTGGCAGTAATCAAAAGATCGCCAATTCAATTTCAGCCACAGCCCATCTGCAGGTCCTTGAGCAAGGCCCTTAACTCCCAGCTCCCTGGGTTCTACAATGGGTGGCTGCCCTTCACAGCCAGCTTGCTCTCACCTACAGAGCGCAATTTGGGGGAGGCGAAAAAAGAATTTCCCCTCTTGGATCAATAAAGTATCTATGTTATTATTATTATTATTATTATTATTATCTCCTGTTTACAGTGTGGAATACCCAGTAATACTTATCTCAGTATCTCCAGTTTACGTTGTGGAATACCCAGTAATACTTATCTCAGTATCTCCAGTTTACGTTGTGGNTGTGGAATACCCAGTAATACTTATCTCAGTATCTCCAGTTTACGTTGTGGAATACCCAGTAATACTTATCTCAGTATCTCCAGTTTACGTTGTGGAATACCCAGTAATACTGACCTCAGTATCTCTAGTTTGCATTGTAAATCCCCCAGTCCACCACACAGCAGATCTACTCCTGAATCCTGCAGGTTATTGCCACTCAGGTCCAGCTCTCTCAGGTGTGAGGAGTTTGATCTGAGAGCTGAAGCCAACGCTTCACAGCATGTCTCTGTAAGTTCACACTGGTTCACCCTTAAGAAGATACAATTAAACACTGATCTACACAAAGTCATGAGTTGAAACACTTGTATAGTTTACATTGTGTGACTGTTTATTTAATAGGAAGAAAAAATAAGGCAGTGAATAAAGATTTTTAAACAAAGAAATGCTGCTCTACTTGCACAAGTACACTACAATTCTTCTTTTCACATAACCCATGTCGCTCTCTTTTGAAATATACACACACATATACAGTTGGAGCAAAGCATGTATTAACTTAATATGACGTATGGGTGAACATGTTAAATAATAACTACACAGATACTGAAAAGCCAGACAAATAGGTTCTGCCTTCATATTGCACTGAGTGGAGGGCAGTGAACTGACAAACCAAACTATATGTCCTAAAGCTAGATGTCTGGTGAAACTAGAGAGGGCATCTTTGTGTGTAGCCTAAGCCAACTTTCCCAACAAAGGTGATATTCATTGAACAGACACGGTTAGTCACTGACACCAAGTTGCTTGTCTGTTATTGTCGATTACTGATAATATCATCAAATCGCACATGCCTAACACAGACACATCAAACTGTAAGTGTGCTGCCTTGCAAACTCAATTGGTCAGGACCAAATGCACCAAAAAAAAAAACAACAATTAAATACAATAACAAAAGAATATGCTAACTATTCGGCTGTTAAAGGTGGCTACTTGATCCAGCAGTTATTGCAACTCCCAAATGTGGCAAAAACCCAAGAACTCTTGTTAACCCAATCAACCAATCAATTTTTTTGTAGAATAATTAGCAGAAAAGGAAACCTCTCTCTTCTCTGTACTTTTCAGGTTACAAATCATGATCCAGTCAGAGGTATGTATTTTCTGGGGGGGGGGGGCAGGATGAGACACTGGGGGGGCTGTAGCCCACCACAACACCCCCCTAGATCTTGTCCCAGATTAGGTTCTCCTTCAGTAACGTAATTAGAACTACAGTAATTGGAGTAGCCTTTAAATATAAAAGATTTTATTTTGTTTCATGTGTCTTTATTAGAAAAAATCAAACAGGAAAAAATGTGAGATGTGGTTAATTTAATTAGCCCAAAATTATTCTTTGCTATAAATAAGAGTTTAATTAGTTAATTTAATGTTTAGCTCAAAAAATTACTCATAAAATTTAAACTTTTGTCTTTCTTTTTGTCTTTATTTTCATGTTCACTAAACTTCGATTGCTCAATTTCTGACTATTCTAGCTGTGGTGTCCTTGTAAAAAGGTAAATAATTCTTCCCTTGCCATTTCACTGTAACCATTTAAACTTCAATTTAAAATAAAACAATGGCTTCTTATTGGCCAAAAAGAAGGAGAACAGCACAACAGAAACAGAAAATAGCATTTTGAGACAATTTGAATCAGCAGTTGCAAGCAAGGCTAGAAGTGGCCGGCTCCTTTATTCATTGGTTGCCTTCATTCTGCTGAAAGGGTCTTATAAAGCTAATTATGGCTCCATATCAGGAGAGAAAAATGTCTTGCAGTGATGCTACTTTTACTACTCTAATAAAGCCACACCTCCAGTTCTACTGTAAACAACAGGATCCAGTCAAAGGTGATATGGTGATGGGCATTTACCTTCAAGGTGACCCCAGTGCATTATGGGAAACAAAGTCCATGTGGAGCGCAAGACTCCAACAGTATCTTAGCTTTTCTATACATCAAGTCTACATTAGACCAGATGACAAGGACTCTTAAACACAAAGACAAATACATAACTTTTTTATGTAATGGCTGGCGTTACAATTTAAAATTATTTTTTTTCTAAACAGACAAGTAACAAGTAAGATTTTAGTAGTCAAAGTCAGACTAGACAGCTATAACTGTTGAGCCCTGACTTTCTACTTTCTCCTCAATTTTGTAAAGAAAATGTTTGTATTGAGGCATCTGCATAGTTGCAGTTTTATATTGAGAAAATTGTTCTTAATCTTTACATGTAACTAATTCCATTTCATGTATGTGGTTCATTGCTCCTTTTAGAACTACTGACTTATCAGCACAGCCAGCAGCAGGACCACCAGCTGTAGCCACCCACCTAACACCATGGAAATATGCAGACAACAGTATATTCATGTTCCATTGAGAGGACAAATATCTAGATGTATCCATCAAATAAGCCTTAATATTTTGCAGGGCCAAATCTGGGGGTATCCGAAGACTCCAGAAGAATTTTGCATGGTAAGCTTAGAGATATGAGGGTACTATGGTAAAGCCTGAGCATCTATTATGTGTATGTGGGGGAGGGGGGTGTATGAATATATTACATTGTAGACACCAAATGTCCCGCACAATGTGATAAAAACCTATTACAGTGGTACCTCAGTACTCGAACTCATTAGAACTCGAATTTCTTAAAAGTTGAACCAACCAGTTCGAAATAAAATGACCTAGAACTTGATCTTAACCGTGAACGCCGACCTCAGATAACTTGTGCGCATCGGGAAATGAGTCATGCCGCACGTCTCTCAGCAGAAACAAAGGGTAATGCTTCAGTCTCAGCCTCGCATTCACTGTGATAGCATCGTACATGTTTACACTAGCTGAATGCATATATTTAAACAGTAAAAATACATTTAGACATTGATAGACAGTAATTATTATATAATAAAAGATATTTAAAAATAAAGATTTCTTGTTAATTATTTTCATATCATTAATAATAAATCATTAATATATCTAATTATAATAATATTGTCGTGCCAAACAGGGACGGAACGGAGACAAAGGTGCAGACATCAGGGTATCGGGGAATATGGGGGTTTAATTACAGGTAAGGCAGGCAAAACGCAGACGGACAATACAATGACCGGACTGGGGAAACAAACTGAAACGCGGACTAAATACAGAGGACTAATGACAACAACCAGAAACAGCTGATCACATGGGGATTCCACACGGGGTTAATGAGGGGGCGTGGCACACGGAAGGAGCGGACGATCGGGGCAGGACACATTGTTTTTGTTTTTTTTTTTACTTAATAACTTTACACATTGTTTGGATACATTTATTTTCTTACTTTACAAATTACTGTTTTGATAAATGTGCTTAGATGTGTTTAGTACAGTATATGCTCTTCTTGTTTTATCCTGTTCATTTTGTGTTCAAATGCTAAAAAAAAACAACATATTTAGGTGTAATTTTTTGGAGCCGGGAACCAATTAATTGGTTTTCCATTATGTCTTATAGGGAAAATTCGATCAGAACTTGAACTTATTAGGATTCGAACCCGAGTTCTGAACGGATTAAGTTTGAATTCTGAGGTACCACTGTATTTTGTTGCTGTGTGGACCATTTTTTCAGTCCCCACAAGGGGAAATTCACAGATTTTATACAAATCTGTGACTGCAATCAAAAAACACCAAAAATCTTGTATTTCGTTTGGTTACTTATGGTTACAGTTAGGGCTGGGTAGGGGTTAAGGTCATCATTGCTGGCATTAGGGTTTTCCCCATAGAAATGAAAGGATGGTCCTCACTAAGATTTAACTACAAATGTGTGTATGTATGTGTGTGTGTGTATGTGTGTGTGTGTGTGCGTGAGCGGGTTTACCTATCCTTATGGGGACACAATGTCCCCATAACGTGATAAATATCCGTTTTTTTTCCCTTATAGGGACCGGTTTCCTGGTCCCCATAAGGGAAAACTCTATTTTATAAAAATAAAATGAAAAACTATGAAAAAACTAAAAATGCAAAAACTCTTGTATTTTGTTAGGTTACTTATGGTTATGAATAGGGCAGGGTAGGGGTTAAGGTTGTCATAGTTAGCGTTAGCATTTATCCCATTGAAATGAATGAGCGATCCCCATAAGGATATGTTTACCCTACATGCGTGTGTGTGTGTGTGTGTGTGTGTGTGTGTGTGTGAGTGAGTGCATGTGCACACACAGTGAGGCAAAGACTTTTGGAAGATGACCTGGTGTCAAGAAGGGCAGCAAAGAAGCCACGTCTCTCCCCCAAAGTATACTCCAAGTATTTATTATGCAAGAATGGACTGCCATCAGTGAAGATTTGGCCCAGAAGTTGTTTGACAGCATGACAGGGTGAATTGCAGAGGTCTTGAAAAAGAAGGGCCAACATTGCAAATACTGACTCTTTGCATAAACTTAATGTAATTGTCAATAAAAGCCTTTGACACATATAAAATGCTTGTAATTATACTTCAGTATACCATAGAAACATCTGACAAAAAGATCTACAAACACCAAAGCAGCAAACTTTTTGAAAACCAATGCTTGTGTCGTTATCAAAATTTTTGGCTATAACTAAGTAAAACTATGAGTTTTTTTGTCTGTCAAAGTGTGGCAGCCTTTTAAAACCTCTCTTAAAGTCACCTATTTACAATTACAATCCTGTATATTTACAGATCATTAGCGTACCTTGCCTAATATCCTCATTTAATTAGTATTTAACTGGTTTAACTGGTGCTGGTGCTAAAATTTAACAATTATAGGATTGGATACCACTCCTTCACCCAGACTGGGATAAGTGGTCACTGGATGGATGGATGGATGGAAGGAAGGAAGGAAGGAAGGAAGGAAAGACAGCTTGGCAAGCAAAGCCATTGTTCTTCTAGCCATCCCAAAATACAACAGCAACTTCTTAGCAAACAAAAGAAATTCTTAATTGTTATTGGATTACTGTATAATGTAATGTCTTATATTGTTAAATAGTGTTTTATCTTAGCAATATACACTTACTTCCTATGCAAATAAAAAACTGTAATTTTCTTCTGCAACATAAAACTTTTTCAAAGTACTGTACTCTTTACTCACTTCAGCTTCTCCAGTTTACAGTTGGGATCCTGCAGTAGAGCAGAGAGCAGCTTCACTCCTGAGTCTCCTGGGTGATTGTAGCTCAGATCCAGCTCTCTCAGGTGTGATGGGTTTGACCTCAGAGCCGAATTCAGGGAAGAACAGCCTCTCTCGGTGACTCCACAGTCTAATAGTCTATGGTGAGTCAGACAAATCATATCAATAAATAAGAATAATCAAGCTTTATGTCACTGCACAAATACAACCACATTACCAGTATTAAACTAAAGTACAGTAAAATCCCGTTATAATGGACTTCAAGGGACCTGGCAAGACAATCCATTATATCCAAAGTCCGTTATTTCCAGAGTTGCTGTGTGCACAGAACACAACTACAGGACACCATTTACTCATGTCACACCCCAGCAGACACACTTGTGGTATAGATTATTATATTGTACTGTACATGTAGTAATCCAACTTTACCTGACCAGATGCGTGACTATTAATAATCCCGACTACGTATCTGCGCTGGATATCACCGGAACGCCATGCGCCTTGTAGGCGGAGCCTGCATGTCCAATATAGCCGAACAAAACTACAGCTAAAAGTGGCCCTGGAGACCAAATTGTTTGTCCGTTATGAGCAAAGTTCCGTTATATGCGAGTCCGCTATATCCGATGCTTTTTCTGCATGTTCTTAAAGGTGCATGGCCAGGACCAGCGGGCCTCGTCCGTTATATAGACGACATTCCGTTATAAGTGAGTCCACTATAACAGGATTTTACTGTTATAATGTCTACTCCAGTAAACAGTTCTACATCTCCAGGTTTATAGTCTAAAACTCCTAACAGAATATTTGCATAAAGGCAACAAAATTGTTATTTTTTAGAATACCTGCCAAACAGTTGATGACCACAACTCTACACTGACTACCCCCCAAACACAAATAAAAGTTAAACTAATTAGTTATTTGACAAAAATATGAATAGGCTACATAGAATTACATTACTGTTTTGTTATACATTATATGTGCAACACAAACACACCAACAAAAGATGTATCGTCATAGAGGAAAAGCACACGTGTCAACTACCTATTGCTGTTTCTTCATCGTGTCCCCTAAATACTAAATAAATTAAATCACACAAATAAACCTTTTCAGATTCTCACAGTGTTCTGAATACATGTTCTGAATGGTTAATCGTGTGTCAATGATCTTTGGGTCAAAGATTAAGTGAGGCTTTGAAAAGATTAAGTAAGGCATTGTTTCAGTGAGTAGATTTGGAAACACACCATCTATCTAAACCTCAAATCAACAACTAAATAGAAGGTGTCATAGTGATTCCTTATCACAGAAGGTGATGAGAATTACATAGAAGTTAGCTTATTGAGGCAGAAAATATTTGGCTTCACTGAAGTTCCTTTCATTAACATAAGTGCCGTGCCATTTGCTCACAAAACTTTTTAAGATATTTTTTTAACCACTGTATTTTTCAGTTTCAGGTGTAAATGATGGTTTTCATTTCATTGGCATTAAAAAGATATTTTATCCGATATGAATGTTTTGTTTTCTTTTTCCTTTGTTTACTGAAACATTGCTTCATTTGTTTTCCTAAAGAAACCTCAAATGGTTTTCCTTCTTACAATATGTACAGAATGGATATGAATATGACTCACAAGTAATTAGACCCCTTATGATGAATAAAAACATAGATTCACGTTTTCCCTTGCCTGGACACGAGTCACCGACCAGGCCCCCCGGAGACAGGCCTGGGGGTGGGGCTCGATGGCAAGCGCCTGGTGGCCAGGCCTGCACCCATGGGGCCTGGTCGGACTCCACTTCTGAGTGGGACCTAATGTCACTCTAGCTAAGCTAGCCAAAGTGCTAGCCAAAGTGTCAGCTACCATACCGGTAGATAGCAAGATTCATAGCCAAGTTACACATAAAACAGTGTGTTTGGTGATTTGGTGATTGAGTTCCATTGAAATGTTACATTTGAAATTACCTACAACTTCAGAAAAAAGCAACTCTATGAAGCTCCCAATCAGATTTATTTACTTATTAAACGAAGGTGCCAGAACATTGCTCTGGATCATTCTGGCCTACTATAACCCCTGCTAGCAATACCGACCTCAGTACCTCCAGTTTACAGTGCGACTCCCCCAGTCCAGCAGAGAGCAGATCCACCCCTGAATCCTGCAGGTCATTGTCACTCAGGTCCAGCTCTCTCAGTTGTGAGGAGTCTGACCTGAGAGCTGAAGCCAACACTTCAAAGCCTTTATTTGTGAGACAGCAGCTGTTCACCCTGGAAAAGGATTAGTCAGTAATAGCAGTAATAGTGGTGATGCAAAATATTAAAATGAGCATTTATTTTCAGTATAACTAGAAAGGCAGCTGTTGGAACAACAATATTGTAATTCTCGGAGAACCCGGCCACCCACTCCTTCAATATAATATGTACTCCCTGCAAATGTACCAACCTGTGCAATTACTAGAAGTATTGGATGACTCGAATGTAAATGCTAAAGCCAATAATTGTGTTTTGACATGTAACTCAAACTACACCTATTAATTTATTGCAAATTCCACTTACATGCCAATTTGCAGAATCTTTCCCTACCAATTTGGTGGTTACCTGTATTTCTTTGTGTATGTCTTAATGTCATTTATATTATTCATATTTTTTATTTCTAAATATGTATATTCTATTTATTCCTCATTTGCACTATGACCAACATTTTCTGTGACATTAACATAGATGGAGCAGCTACAAACATTTTATTATATTTTGGGGTATTTTTTGGTGGGGCAGAGTTAATTAAATTGTGCGCACAATTTAGTTCCCACAAAATACTAAATTGAGTTCACATAGTCCTTGAAATTTGCATACTATTTTTTGTGCTCTAAATTTGCCATTTTGAGCTATTGAATTAATTTTCATTAAATTGTTAAATATTTGTGTTATAAAGAAAATGTGAACACAAAGCAAGATGCTGCAGTGAACTGATACTATGGGATTTATGGTGGTAAATTTATTTGCTTAAAAATTTGTAACAATGCACAATATGTCTCCCAATCCTACTTGGTCTTATTCTATGAGATCTGGCACTGCTGACACAGAATCATAAAAAAGCCAGACTGGAATTTGCAAAAATGTACTTGAGGAAGCCAAAATCCTTCTGGGAGAATGTCTTGTGGACAGATGAGATCAAGGTAGAGCTTTTTGCTCATTATTCTACTGTTGACAGAAAACGGAATGAGGCCTACGAAGAAAAGAACACGGTACCTACAGTCAAACATGGTGGAGGTTCAAAGATGTATTGGGGATGTTTTGCTGCCTCTGGCAAGGCATCATGAAATCTGAAGACTACAGTACCAAAAGATTTTGGGGCGCAATGTAGGGCCCAGTGTCAGAAAGCTGGGTCTGTGTCAGAGGTTATGGGTGTTCCAGCAGGACAATGACCCCAAACATACCTCTAAAAGCACCCAGAAATGGTTGAAGACAAAGTGCTGCAGAGTTCTGAAGTGGCCAGCAATGAGACCAGATCTAAATCCAATTGAACACTTATGGAGAGATCTCAAAATTGCTGTTGGGAGAAGGCACTGTTCAAATCTGAGGAACCTTGAGCAGTTTGCAAAAGAAAAGTGGTCAACAATTCCAGTTGAGAGCTGTAACAACTTGTTGATGGTTATAGTAAGTGATTGATTTCAGTTATTTTTTCCAAAGGGCGTGCAACCAAATATTAAGTTGCAAATAATTTTGTCCGGCCCAGTTTTTGAGTTTTGTGTGAAATGATGTCAAATTTGGCTTTTTTCCCTGTTTCTTTGTGTTGTTCCAATGCACATAAAGGAAATAAACTTGTGTATACCAAAACATTTTTAATTGTAACAATTTTCTTGGAGGAATGGTGCATTTTTTGG